GCCGTGAAAGCCTTCGAGAATACATTCTTGAGAACTTCTTGCTATTGATACTATGATTATTATAGTGCTGCATGTTATCTTTTGGTTTATTTGTCTTTGATGTTTTATAATTTCAGATTCTATTGAAATTCTAATTGCTTTAAAATTTGTAAACCACTTTGTATGTATCATACAGAAAAGTGTGGTATAAGCACAGTTTGGAAGTAACATGTTACAACTATCAGCATTACCTGCAAGGGTATGTGTGAGGAGGACATAGGATGAGAGCATAACAATGGTCCTTTAAAAAGGTGATGATGACTGATAGTGTTGTTACCTATTTATGTAGCTAGCAATGATTGTTCCTTACCACAGGATGGGGCTGAAAAGTTTTGAAGGATTTTTAAAAGAAAATGTAGGTCACTTTCTTCTTCTTCTTCTTCTTCTTCTTCTTCTTTTTTGGCAAGATTATTTTTCAATAAAAGGAATTAAAATACAAGGAGCAATGTTAAGGAATGACATTACAAGTTACTATTTATTATTATAGTAGTATGAATTACTTTTTTTGGAACTGTCTAATGTTACATAATGAATTACTTATAAAAAGTAACTATATAGTCTCTGCATACAACAAAACTGTAATTGCTATTAACTGACTGGCCAATTCTTTCCCTGAAGCAGGCTTTTAGTTTTGCGTGGCTTTATGAGGTTTCCAGTTTATTAGTTTCATGCAAATAGGTCCACAAATGTAAAAGAAATGATACTTTTATAGTTAAGAGCAAGCAAAACAATGCAAAACCATGCCAGGCCCAGGAAATATAAGTGAAAACCTAACAATTCGATGGTGGAATGCCCCAGCAAAATGAGTTATTTTGATCAACCAAAATTAAGATTTTAGTGTGTAAAAATTCAACAAACACTATTTACAAGTTTCCAAAATAAATGACAGACATGCTACTTGCTCCTCAGCTTTATAATAGTTTTGACAAATGCACTTTAATCAAAGTGTCATCTGTTGTGCATCTCTCTCATGGTTCGTGGAGGCTATCTGCTTTTCTAAGGGCCACTGAATGTTTATCTGATTCCATGTGTTGCTGCCCTATTCATTTATTTAAAACATCAACTTTTAAAGATTTGGAAAAATGTTCCAGTGGAGAGATGCCTGCTGCATCCCGAGGACCCTCCCAGTCACTAAGCACAGTGCAAAGCCAGTTTCTGTTCCATATAAACAGAATTAGTATTCCTTGACCTTAAAGAAAAGATTGTATATTCAAATAATGGCTAAATTAAGATTCAATGGCAAATCAAAGTTTCTATCTAAAAGAACAGCTAGGCATAAACATCTAGCATTTTTGTGCTGCCCCTGTAAAGGTGGCAGACAGTTGCAGATGTGGCATCTCAACTGAGGCCAGTGAGTGTTCTTCCACACCCATCCGTGGTTCAACCAACCAAATTACAATTAAATACAATTTTTAAACGTTGGGGGAAAATGCTACAATTTGTGGCCCTTATTGTTCGCTAATCCCTCAGGAACTGCTTGCATTGTTGTTGCTGTTTTGGTTAGCTGCTGAAACTAAAGTTAGAAGTTCTGAATTGTTCGGATTTAGGCCTCTCTCCCTGCTCGCCAAACCTTGGATGTTTTGGTCAAAGGATTTCTGCCATTCATTCACTTGGTGAATAAAAAAGAGTCACCACATCTCCTGGACAAGGAGCCTTCCTACAGCTTCTGAAAACAGTTCTCAAAAAAAATTAAAGAGGCATTTATTTCATCAGTCTTTAGCATTCCATTGAAACCATTTAGACATGGCTACGAAAAGGATTGGGCTTGTTAGATGACTGAAATGACCTGCATGGTGGGTTCTGGGCTGAATAGGTGGCAAAGAATTCAGCAGCGAAGGTGACCACATCTTCAGGCTTGCGAAGTAGTAGTAGCTGTAGGAAGTCTGCTAGAAGGGCATTGAGCTCTGGATGGCGTTGCACATAGGTGGCATGGCTTGCTTGCAGCTCCTCCTGAGAGAAGGAAACGCACACATACTTCAGAAGAATGGCCAAGGTGATGCCCTACTTTCTCAGCAGTGTCCCATCATGTTTCATCCACAAGCACTCCTGGTGCTAGAAGAGCACTGCTCCCAAGCTTTCTGAATGCCCTAGCATACCAAGCACAGAAACGACATGGCTCTCTCCCTATTGAATTTCACTGGCATTATTTTCCCAGCTAATAATGTGCAATAACCTTCCATCTCTGTGGATACTGCAACATCCTTCTATAAACCATACACTAAGTTGCAGATGTGTAGAGTTGAATCCAGACCTAGTTGTACTTGGCCCCATTCAAATCAATGCAACCATTTAAGTCATGGCTAAAGCCCCACAGAACCTGAACAATATGGCCTGGATTTGGTCCGTGTAGCTCCTTGTGCTACACTCCTTATGAACAACAGTTGTATGGTCAAACTGGACTAGACATTCAGTTCACTTAAGGCTAATGGCTTGTTCTATGTTCTGCAATGTGACCTCCTCAGAGATAGAAGCACAGAAAATATTTATAAGTTTAGCCTATGTTTACCCACAAATGACCAAGCGTGTAAACATACAAAAAGTGTGTTGGAATGCAAGATATGGCACTAAAAGCACATGCTACATAAAAAATATTTTTCATCACAATGTTTTCATCACAAAAAGTGTGTTGGAATGCAAGATATGGCGCTAAAAGCACATGCTACATAAAAAAATATTTTTCATCACATTATGAAAGTCCCACTTCTAACAATGTGCTTAATTGTATGACTATATTGTCAAGTTTAACTCCTAGACATTCTCACTAAGAAGAAAATCCCAATATATTTAGGGCTACATCCAACTGTTAGTCTCAGCTAAAGCAGACCCACTGAATCAACTGGATTTACGTAAGTGTTGACTTAACAAAGTCCATTAATTCAATGGTACTACGGCAAGGAATTTGTCTGTGCCCTTATGCAAAATCATAAACAAAATACTGTATAATTGTTCTTGTTATAAGCTTACGGCTTGGCCTAGAAGGGTTAATATTATGAGAAAGGAAATCAGTGATTACAGCAGTGATATTGATGATGATTCACAGGTGTTAACCAATCAGGTTTATTCAATTTAAACATTCAATAGCAAAGTTTCTGTTCCTTTTTTTTTTGGTCTGGCTATAAGGTAGAGAGGGATGAGGAAATGGGGGAGAGGTTGAGAGATGGATCCTTGCTAGTAGTTTAAAGATCTCTGAATGAGCTTGAATGGCTAAGACCTACGAGTCATTGGCAGCATCAACACTGACATCACTAAGTGGGGAATTCTGGGAGCTGCAGTCCAAAAATACAAATCTGAACACTTCTACTTAGTGTCCTCATGATATTAACCCTTTCCTGGCACACTGCTTGCCTATACTGTAAAATGAAGAACAAGTACTTTTTTTGGTTGTTGTTGTCACATAATGGTCTGGATGAATTCACTGCCATCACAAATGTGTCTACTTTCTTTTGGTTAAAGAACTGAATTTAGCTCTTAGTGGTCAGAATCTTAAGTAACCCAGAATAAGTCAAATGGCATAAACTGTAGTGGAAAATTACCACTAAGGACGTCAAGGCTTGTAATGCAACTGTGTGATTTACATGGGCATACCTAAGTAAGAGGATTCTGTCCAACATCATTTAGTATGACTGCTATGAAATAGCTGCTTGCATTCCAGCAAGCATTTTTGTGTGTTTGTGCAATTGGTCATTTGGTGGTAAATATAGGCTTAATTTACAAATATCCCTACAGGCCACAGGGCCAAGAATCTGGCTTAACCAAGGAAAACAATGTGAAGAAACAGTTAACTTTTCCTCCCACAGTATTGCTACTTCAGTTCAATCTGGAGCCTTGTCTCAGTTACTATTAAACACAAATATAAATATTGGGAGTTCCAGTCCCAGATCTCCCATGATACTTAGGCTCTGGCCCTTGAAACTGAGGGCAACATTCCAGTTGTCACCTTGTTTTTCATCTTCAAACAACTCACCTTTCTGTCTAAGAATCTGGAATACAGCTCCACATCCTCTTCCCAGTCTAGAGGGAGTTTTTCGAAGACTGGACGAGGGTCTGGTTCATCTGGGAATGGATAGAAAATGAAAGTGTTGAGTAAGAGTGTTAGAAGTAGAGCACATTTTGGAAAAGTTACTTTGCTGGAGTACAAATACCAGAATCCCTCTGCTATCATAGCCAGGGATTAATAGCCATGCTGGCTGAACATTTTCTAGGACTTGGAGGACAATACAGTCATTTTTCCAAACTTTGGTTACATCAAAACATACTAGAAAACTGTAGGCCTTTAAGAAAAACTCCAGGGCTATTCATATGCTCTCAGTGCCCAAATGGAAGACAACATATTGTTTTGCCTCAGTTAGCCTATCTCCTCTCATCTGCTGCTCATAGTAAAGCCAACAGAAGTGCCCTCAGCCTTTTGCTACTGAGTGCCTACCTGCTGCTGAAGATCATCCTCAACTGCCTGGAGATGGGGATGGAGGCCCTCGGTAAAATATAGCTAGAATGGTCTGCAGAAACCTTTTTACCTGTTTCAATCAGAATGGGCATCTGCAGGATCACCATGGTGGCCGGGGATCCAACCTGGACACGGCGAGATAAATGCCTGGGTGGAGGAGGCAAGGAGGAGAATTAGCCAGGCTGGACTCTTCTGCATTTGTCTGTGGAACTGCAAGACAGCAGGCAGAAACCGTACAAGACTGTAGCTGTATGGCTATATGATGCCTTCAGTTCTCTGGCCTAGTTATGCTAGCATAATACAAATGCCATAATTTTTGATGGCCAGTTGCTCAAAGTTAGTAAATCACCTTAGGCACAATCAGATGCATACAGAGTTGTGTGACTCATTATGAAACTAATACTGTTTACAGTGATTGCTTAAGTTGGGGAAATTTCTCTTCCAAAGTTACACCATTTGCATTGTCATGCAACAGGATTTTGGCCAGTGAATGTACAGTATTGCAATTTTCTTTGATGTAGTAAGTCACAACTAGAGTAGGCTCATTTGAATCAGTGGAACTTATAGAAGAGTAAGTTCACCACTATTCAATGGGCCTACTCTAGTGTGATTTACTACACTAAACAATAAGAGTGGATTCATAATGATGAGGCATGCCGTTATTAATAGGCACAGTCATTTAAACAACTGGCAAAATGTATGCAGCTGGTTACTAAAGATGCAAAATATTATTTTTCCCCCTCCCTTACCTACAAAAAAATTTGTTAGCACTGCAGTAAGAATCAGAGATTGAAAGAGTTCCTTTTTTTTGGACAATATCTCCCCCAAAAAGCAACTTTTCTGAGCTCTAGTAGAAAATCCAAGCTTCCCTTTCATTCGTGTAAAAGATTTCCATCCTATTCTGGAGTGCCAAGTTCTCACCTAGGACCAGAGGTTTCCAAAACTAGTATCCTCCAGGTGTGTTGGACTCCAACCCCCAAAATCCCTAGCCACCGTGGCCAGCATATATGGAAGGCAACAGGTAGCAGAATGCTGGTCCATGTCTTTAGGTTCACTGGGTCACTGAGAAGCCTGCAGCAACTGTGCTGCTCGCCATATTCCTCCAGTAGAATTTGTGAAGGAAGAAAAACAGAGGGAGAAATTCACACTGTGTAACAGAAAAGGCTGGGCACAAGAGATTACATGAGAATTCCCTTACCCATCTGACAGGAAGTAGAACTGCCAGGTCAGTGGGATGTCATCTGTAGAGTGCACAGCTCTCTCAGTCACGAACACATCCACCTCCTCTTTGCCCACCTGCTGCTTCTGGATACCTAAGGCACTCTGGGAAGGAAAGGATGGAAGAGACAGGGAAGGGGAATTTTTTTAAAAGTTCAGAAACAGCAATACCTTGATTTCTGCAGTAAACAGAGCTACCTTTAATGTCAGTGGGGCTGCATCTTTTGGTCCAGTCTGAACAAGAGCGGTCCATCTACTGTTATCTGACTATTCTGGCCATCAAGGTCTGAACCTAGATGAAGGGCACTCTAGCTAGGGAGCGAGCTCTATCTCTCCCCACATCATTCCTTTGCATCTCAGCTCCATGCTTTCCTATTCTGTAACTCAGAGGTGCACAAAGTGTCCCCAATTTCTCCTGCCCCCCACCATCATGCAGAAAAGGATTCTCAGGAGAAAAGGGTGAATGGTTGCCGCTGTGACCCATCAGGTGTGGTGATCTACCTTTTATAGGGTGCTCCCTTGTCCATTCACAAACCCCCGTAGCAGTTTATGTAAATGGAAGTAGAATTCTGGCCAAGGCTAGTTTTCTTTTTCTTTTTCCCACTGCCTAGCCCAATGTTCTTTGTGGCTCCAGGGCCTGCCAAAAAATGTCAGCCCTCGGACACATCAAAGTTGCCCACTCCTTCTGTAGCCCAACACATCTTTTCCTGCTCACCTTACATTATTGCTCATTTCTGATCCCACAGATATTTATTTAGGAAGACTTAAAAGAGTTGGTTGATGTCGCTATCTGACATAGTTTGGAAAAAGTTACTTTTTGGGAATTACAATTCCTACAAACCCTCAGCCAGCAGGGCCACTAGGAGTTTTAGTCCAGACTATAACCTTGCAGGGCTGAACTGGAGCAAGAAATCCATATTAGCACAAGATGTCTTATATTAAGCAGCACACTTTTATATTAATTATCTTTCATTGTGATGCAAATGGTTTAACTTTTGAAGGTGAATTTCCCCAGGCTAACAAACCACCATAGATATTATCAGTTGCAGACTGAGTCACACAACCCAGGAGGCAACTGATAAAAGTCTGCGGTGATTTCCTAACTTAAGGCAGTTCGCCTCCACAAGTTACACTGTTTGTGCTAAAACAGCATAACTAGGTAAGAGGATTTGGGCCACTGAGTCACACCCATGACCCATGTAGCTCAGTCATGTCTACGTTGACTGTCAGGAACCAAAAGAGGTTTCAGATACAAATTTTTCTTAACTGCCCTAAATATGCCAGGGATTAGATTTGGGACCTTCTGCATGCAAACATCACAATATAAGCATAGCTCTGCTGGATCCGAGCAAAGGTTCTTCCAGTCTGGCATTCTATTTCTTGTAATACCTGACAACTTCGTACATTGGGATGCCTGCAGGCAAGGCAGGAGGGCAACTGTGCCCTCTAACTTGTGACTCAGTAACTGGTATATACCCGTGGTGGCGCTGTGGGCTGAACCGCAGAAGCCTGTGCTGCAGGGTCAGAAGACCAAGCAGTCGTAAGATCGAATCCACGTGACGGAGTGAGCTCTCGTCGCTTGTCCCAGCTCCCGCCAACCTAGCGGTTCAAAAGCATGCAAATGCAAGTAGATAAATAGGGACCACTTCGGTGGGAAGGTAAGTCGCACTGGCCATGTGACCACGGAAGATTATCTTCGGACAAATGCTGGCTCTATGGCTTGGAAACAGGGATGAGCACCGCCTCCTAGAGTCGAACACGACGGGACAAAAATTGTCAAGGGGAACCTTTACCTTTTTAACTGGGATATACAGGCACATTGCCCCTAGTATTGGAGGTAATGTATAGTAACCAGACTCTTAGCCAGTGATAGCCCCGCCTTCCATGATGGACGTGTTCCACTACTGTGCTCCAGCCCCGCCTCAAACCAACTGTCCCCCTACCTTGCCGAGATGGGCAAGTTGGTCCCAGTATCCCTACTAACATGAGGTCTTGGCACCGACCAGTTGACTTACATAGGATGAGGTGCAGATGTGGTGGTTAGTGTCAAATGATAGGAAAACGGCATCCTCTGGCACAGCCTTCCTCCGGGCCATCACCCGCAGCACCAGGAAGTTGGCAGACTCTGAGATGAGTCCTTGGAGGTGTGCACATTTGTAAGAAAAGGTGTCAACGTGGATCTCTTCCTGTCAGAGAAAGGAAAGGGAAAATATTCTTCACTAAGTCCCAGCCATTGGAAGAGGAGAAAAGCATCAGGGCTTTCCTGTGGCAAGTTGGGACCACCAGACAAGCCTTTCTCGACAATAAGAGAGGAAAGAAGGCCATTGCCTTGCTGCCCTCTAGCTGTTAACAAGAGTCAGTGCAGCAGTTCAAATCACCAAGTGCATTCCTGCATTTCCCCCCTTTTCCCCACCATCCAGATTTGTATCACAGGGATAAAAACAATGACCTACTTTCCAGGGCAATTCCAACGATTACTGACATAATTGCATGCAAAGTGAAGGCCTCTATTTATGTGCTTAAGTTACTTAGCCAATATCCTGCCTTTTTCCTTTGCAACTAGGTTCCCAAGATGATTTTTCAAAAAGGTACAGCTAAAAGCATATGATAGTCTTAAAACATGATTAAATAAGTTATATTTAAACAAGCACCAAACTAATTTTAATAGCATTTACAAATACAACGAAACAAGTTATGTTAATTAATGCTACCATTTCTTAAATTGTGTTTTAATACAATATATGTTTGTGGAAGTTTGGCTGTACCCTTTAAAAAGTTAACTTGGTTGTAAGTTACCCTGAATTAAATTTTTTTGGGGGAAAGGTGGGCAGAGATCAAAGAAAGAAAGGAAACACCAGGGTATGGTTTGAAAGTACAAATTCCAGCAGGTCTGTGTCAGGGAGGTGACAACAAAGGCCCTTATCAAAGCTCTCCTCTTCTAGTTAAGGCAGCATAACTTGAGATGCCTGAGGAATTTGATCTCTGTGAATTCTGGTCATGAATTGGTCTTAACAAAACACCCATATATGCACCCAAGGTCACAGGTGAATTGGAATTCATTGCTTGAATGTTCTGATATCATTCTAGGCTTGAAAGTCACATTAAGGTGCACTTTAAAACATGTTTTCTGAGATCAAATAAACGTTTAAAAGTATGTTTTAAATATTCTCTCTGTCTCTCTCTGTGTGTATCTGTGTATGAAGTAAATATTTAGAAAGAGTGTAGATTTTTTTAAAGAGTGCAAATCAACATGAGAATACGCCAAATGAGACTTACTGGGGCACAAGTGCAAAAACAGTAAAAACTGATGACTACCTGGACTTTTCAGGAGTAGCTTACTCTACTTACATCTCTTTCCACTATGGCTTTCCGCACAAATAGTTGATCTTCGCGTTTCACCACATGAGTCCTGGTTTCCACGGGATGCTCTCTAAACTGTGGAAAAGGGGAAGCACAGGGACATATCCATGCCAGCCTTGCGTCTGTGGTCCAGGCCACAAAGTTCAGGTAAGAGTTATGCCTTTTCAAAAAGACAGAGCAGATAATTAAAAAGCTACTTCTTTTGGACTATAGCAATCAGAATCCACCGGCCACACTGGCTAAAGGATCCTGGAAGTTGGAATCCAAAAAAGTAATTTCCACAAGCTTGGGATATATAGAGAGACATAAGACCGTCACCCCATGTTGAAGCCTACATGCCTTCAGGCTTCGTGGAAGCCTGCATGTTTTCAGTATCACCTCTTGTACACACAGGGAATAAGAGACAAAAAAGAGTATTTTTTCCAGTCTGAATCTGACCACCAGCTTTTTCCGATCAGAGAGCAAAAGTATGTGAAAAATTTAAAGCAAGAACAGGATGCCCTATAATACTTTCAATGACAGCCAAGAATTTAAATTTACCCTAATGTCTTCTTACCAGCAGGCGTAGTCAGCTATCTTATGAGAGAGACTGGGTGCCAGTACACATTAGTCAATGATCAGTTGCTTGATTTAAATATATATATTTTACTGTCGTGGGAACATAATTGACATTTCCTTCCTTAGGCACCAATGTGTCTTAAACAGATTATATGCATAAATTTCTACTTACTCCTAGATGTTTCTGAGTCTATCCAACATGTGCGTGCGCATGGGCGCAAACATATCAAAGGCAGAAATAGACCATTAAATGTCCTTCTATCAGTAATTTAACTCAATTGATAGCCAATATGTCAATGAATTTATCTCTCTATTTCAACTTTTTCTTTTTTTGTGATGGATGCATTCTGTTTGAAACACATTGAGTCCTCCACCCACCACATATCAATTTGTACACATTTGGGAATGGCTTTCTTTTGCATTTTAGCACTTATCCCCCCTACACACACATAGGGCAGTGTGGTGTGAAGGTCTTGTCAGTTCCCTATTTGTAGATTTCTAGTAACATTTCCTTTTTTAACTCTTCCCCCCACCACCACCACACCAAGCTGATAGTTTTTTAGGGTTTTTTTGTGGTCAGCATTTTAGCACTTATCCCCCCTACACACACATAGGGCAGTGTGGTGTGAAGGTCTTGTCAGTTCCCTATTTGTAGATTTCTAGTAACATTTCCTTTTTTAACTCTTCCCCACCACCACACCAAGCGGATAGTTTTTTAGGTTTTTTTGTGGTCAATTCTATCAATAACAATTCCTCCCACTGTGTCAGTTTCCTCCACTGTGTGTACACTGTAGACAGCACAGGGGATACTCCTCTCTGTTCTCTGATGAAACTGACTCTCCCCACAACAGTGTCAGAGCCATTCGAGAACAATGGTGAGTGAGAGAACAACGGTGAGCGAAAGAGGGTAATCACACATGCACAAGCACACACACAAACACACACAGGAACACACAGAGGCAAACCCTTGCCTCTGGGCTGCCCAGAGACAATCTGAGGAGGGAAAGCATCCCACTTATAACGAATGGTGAGTAGCTGTAGTATTATATCCTCAGTTAGCTTCTTGGGAGGAAAAAAATGTTTTCTGAGTTCTGGATGTTCAAGTGCAGCCAAACTCCCCCCTGACTAGTAGGGCTGAAAACAAAATACTGACCCTCACGCTTTCCTTCGTATGTTGCTCCACAGTCTCCAGTCTCTTTGTTATATATCCTGATGTAGAAAGTGATTTAAAAAAACACACAACATAAGGAGCATAAACAGTTAAGACTAATGTCATCTGCTTTCTCTCCCCAGTGCGACCCAATACATTAATCCTGTTTGTACACTCAAGCTGTACCCCTGTTCCTTAGTCTTTCTCAGAAATACAGCAATCCACCTACCTTCTTTTGAATTTGTCTGAAGCAATGTGAGAAATGTATCTGACGTAAGGTGTAATTACACTGCATTTTACCTCACAGTTTGTGCTGGGGTTGGCACAGTTAAATTCAATGTATTCTCTGTTGACTACACAACATAAAGCTAATTGTGAGTAAGCCCATCCTTTTTTCATTGGTATTTGTTACTTTTGTTTGTTCGTTTATTTAGATTTATATCCTGCCCATTTAGTGAACATGCCACTACTACGGGCGGCTTACAAAATATTATTAAAATCATATAAAACATATTAAAAGAAAACAAACAAAACCCTACCCCCCCCCATAGAATCACCAGTCTGGGACTTAAGGTGGCAGACAATGGGCCAGCATAATACGAAAGGGTGGTGCTTGGGAAAGCCTGGGTAAAAAGCCAGGACAGGTTCTAATTTGCTTGTGGAAGCTCAGGAGGGTGGGGGCCAGTCACACCTCCACAGGGAGGGAGTTTCAGAGCACAGTTTAGCTGGCATTTTAGTAGCAATTTCCCCAACATAGCTTTCCCCCTTGTTTCTGACATTTTATGATCTCGTATATTGGTCCAAAGGGGCAGTGGAGGTATGTCCTAGGGTGACACTGGTGGTGGGGTCTTTCTTTTTCTTTTTCTTTCTTTCTTTCTTTCTTTCTTTCTTTCTTTCTTTCTTTCTTTCTTTCTTTCTTTCTTTCTTTCTTTCTTTCTTTCTTTCTTTCTTTCTTTCTTTCTTTTTCTTTAGCAAGAAAGATAACACCGAATTGATGTAACAATCCTCTGTCATTAATACTGTCCTCTTCCCCTCCTCATCTCTTTTATATTTTTGAAAAATAACACTAACTTTGATAAGAAAAATTAAAACATTGTTCAGAGGAGCTCACTTGAGGAGGATGTTCCTGCTGTATTGACATACTGAGTCCTACTGAAGAGTATGCCAGTACAGATGGAACATCTTCCTCAAGTTGAGTGCCTCTGAATATTTTCATATTAAACTTGTCAAATTTCAAACTACAGTATGTCAAATAAGGACTGCAGTTTCACAAACTGTTATATCAATTCAGTGCTATATCAATTGCAAAAAAATTAAAAATCAAAAAGTGGGGAAGAGGACAGTGTTAAGGATGGAGGCTGGGGATGACTTATGACCCTGGTGAGAATTCTAGCAATTTGAGATGTGGTCTGGAATCTCCCCAACTCCAAATCACCCCTCCCATTGAACATTCTGTGTGAAATATAACAGCAATTAAACCACCATAGGAAACATTGAATCAACCCGAATTCACCCATAGCCTTCCTGTCTAGTTGCACACTTACACCAAATATATGAAGCAGCACCAAGAGCACTAAAGTTAATTTATAGATTCATTTATGGATTCATACCTCGATATTGAAATGATTAGCACAGCACATTTCCCCGTTTTGGAAAGAAATCGTATCTACACTTCTTTATCTAAAATAAAATAAATGAACACTAATGCTAACTCAGTGTTAATTTAGTAAATACACTGAAGTAGGAAAGATAATAGAAATTCTATTTCCAGTTGACAAAGATGGAAATGTAGGGAGCCATGTCTGACCTGACACCTCTAAAAAGCAAAGGCAAGAGTTCTTCTCTGTTCTCTCCCGGAGAGAACCAACAAGGAAACGTGTGGCGGAAGTGATAGCAGTCTAGGCTGAAGGATGATCAGGAAATAAAGCTTCTATCTTTCACCCATCAAAGGTGATCAGAGTCCCCAATTTATCGACAGAACTCTGTTGCAGGGTTTGTCCTCTTTCCTGGATCTGGGGAGTACAATACAAAAATGGGAAAAGCCAACAATATTCCAAGCATAAGGCTTGTTTTCTGTTTCCTTAATTGCAGAATTGTGTGGTACGTAAACCAAGCAGAAGGCATTACAAGCTGAATTTTTTATGAGAAGGAACTAAACTTTATTACATCTAAAGAGAATAGTGAGACACATTCACAAGGTAATGCAAGAAAGAAAACTCACAGAAGCTGATCTCAGGACACAACTGAAAAGAATTATAAAATAGTACAAGAACCAAGAAATACACATGGGTGGGTACTTCTGGAAGTTCAGCAGACCAAACAGAATCACAATCTTGATTGTACTAACAGCTTCTTATCTCTCCCTTCCCATTGTCCTGAGATCAGTCCTTCCTCACCTGGCAAGGAAGCATCCAAGACAGAGAATAAAAAGAAAGCTCTTACTAGATATTTAAAAAGTCTGATTGTCTGATACCTTTGAGTTATCAGTAGCATCACCACTTGTATCCCAACTATTCTGACTCGGGAGTTAACCTTTACCAACCTTTTCAGGTGTGCATTTTGTAAGCCTGTAACATATACATTAGAACTCTAGACATGTTGCTGTGTTGTTTCGTGACATAGAATGACATGAATCTGCTGTCATGACAACATAGGTCAAAGCAAGTAAATGCTAAGAAACTTGATGAGGCCGTTCTCTCTGAATCTCTCTCTGAGTATATATCTATCTTCTTCAGTGTAGCCTGAGTTGTATTCAGTCTCCTTTGACAAAAAATGATGAGAAATAGCACAGGGACAGAAAACAATTCGTGCATTAGGTTGCTTGAATCTAAATAATACTAAGACTATATCCATTGTTTTCAAAGTCCCATGTCTTCAGGTTTAAAATTTGAGGCATGAAGACTGTGTAAGGGATGTACAGTAAGAGTTTGCTCAGTCTCTCTCTCCTCTGTACTAGTCTTATACTGTACTGTCATACTAGCACTGCAATGTTACCTGTAATGGTTGTTGTGCAAGGTACACCATCAATGGTTCCCTTGCTGGTTGCTCGGACCAAATAGCAGTCTTCTTCCTCCCAGTCATCTAGCGAATAGCAGGACAACTCCACGGAGACTGAGAAACTTCCTATTGTCTGTCCACTCTCTGAGATGGCTATGAGTGATTCTTCAAAGAGGCAGGGCTTGATCTCTTTTGCTTCTGAGAAATGAAAGGTGGAAAGAATTTTATCTGCTTCCACTCAGAATGGGGTGGGGGTGGGAAGTGTCCCTTAATTATGAATACATAGTTACTGATAGGTATACAAGAAGGAAAGGGAACCAACGAGAGGAGAGGGAAGGTTTAACTCTCTGGAGCAGATATCCATATTCTAGATTGAATACTAAAAGAACTACAATGGTGCCTCGCTTTACGATTGCCCCGTTTAATGATGAAACCGCATTATGATGAACTTTTTGCGATCGCTTTTGCGATCGCAAAACGATGTTTCCTATGGGATTTAACTTTGCGATGATCGGTTCCCTGCTTCGGGAACTGATTCTTCACAAAACGACAATTTTCCAACAGCTGATCGGCGGTTTCAAAATGGCTGCCGGGTAAACAAAATGCCCCCCGCTGTTTTCTGGGACAGATTCCTCACTGCACAGGCAGCGAAAATGGCCGCCCTATGAAGGATCTTCGCTGGACGGTGAGTTTACAGCCCTTTGGAACGCATTAAACGGGTTTTAGTGCGTTTCAATGGGTTTTTTCTTCTTGCATTACGACGTTTTCGTTCTACAGTGATTTCGCTGGAACGAATTAATGTCGTAATGCGAGGCACCACTGTATTTCAAAACACAGAGACACTGAATTTGTCAGCATTCCAACAAGAATATGACAACAAATATGGAAGACAAAACAGTGACCCACAGACAGGAAATGTTCAATATATATTCCAATCACAAAGAAAAGAGGTGCCAAGGAATGCAGTAACTCTAGGACCATTAATTTCCCATTCAAGCAAAGTGATGCTTAAGGTGTTACAACAAACGTTTTTGGTTTATATAGAGTGACAGTTAAGAAAGCTGACAAGAGAAAACATGGTACAGGAGAACAGCTTTGTAGATATCCTGGACTGTCAGAAGGACAAACAAGCAGGCCTTAGAGCAGAGCAAGCCTGCACTATCTCTGGAGGCAAAAAATGATGAAACTGAGGCTGTCCCACTTTGGGCACATTATGAGAAGACAGGATTCTCTGGAAAAGATAACAATGTTTGGAAAGGGTGAAGGCAGCAGGAAAAGAGGAAAACTAAATATAGGATTGAGTAACTTCCCTAAAGTAACTCCCTAAAGGGAGCCATAGGCTTGAATTTACAAGAACTGAACAGGCTGCTGAGGACAGGACATTTGGGAGTTCACTCATAAGTTGGAGGTGACTTGACAGCATGTAAAAGCAATGTTGTCTTCAAGGCCTTCTGATTGAAAAGGCCTACGTGGAAGGATTTTGTGTTGACACTAAGGAGAGTGGAGTCAGTGAAAAGTAGTTTACCTTTCTCCTCCCTAACCATGATCCCAATGCTCCCCCATATGCTATTGGCCTGGAAGAAGAAAAGGTTCTATTGGTACCCATATGAAGCCAGTGTGGTACAGGAATTACAGAGTGGAGCTGGGACTCAGGAAGGCTGTGTTCAAATCCCCACTGGACCATGAAACATGCTGAATAACTTTGGGCCCATCATATTTCTCTGCCTAAATTATACCTGACAAACTTGTTGTGAAGATAAAGGGATGAACATATGAACATTCTTCCTAAGGTCAATGGAGGAACAAAAAGATACAAATATAACAAATAAGCAATGTAAAGAATGGGAGTTTCCTTTCCTGGGGAAATAGAATCATGTGTGATGGGACAGTGTTCTGTCAGAACTGGATGGAAAGCCAATTATTCCCTCTGTGCGTGCTCTGGTCCCAGTAAAAATGTGTTTCCTCCCATAACTAATACTTTAAAAAAAAAAACACCACAACAAAGTGACATGCTTCTCTTTGGTACTTTGAATATCACATCTACTTTCACCACATGATTCCTATGTTTGGAGGAACACCTCACCACCACCAAAAAAGCAGTACTGCAGAAGATCCATAAACACAGTGGGGACACTTCTGAGATGAAAGGCAGGTGACAGGTCATATGCAGGTAACGAACACTTACCAATAAGAGAGAGGAACTCCACTGCCCCCTTGCTGGCAGGTGGAATTTTCTGCACTGGCACCTCTTCTGCTGTTTCTTCCGAACTCTTTTTTTCCATTGTGAGGAGAGAACGCCTTCAGGCTGTGGAACAGATGTGTGTGGAAGGGTAGACTTTCCAAAGGTCTGTAGTGAGGAGCTCTGGAAAGAAGATATAGACTATCCTCATGTACAGTTCGTTCTAAGGATGGCCCAGTGAACACAGCAGGATCTTCTTCAGAGTAAAAATGCATCAATGATAGCACTTTGAAAGTTACTTTGAATATATTAATATGCTGAAACTATCCATAAGTGAGCCATGGTATGATGATGCTATGGTCCCACTCAGTTACCGGTGGCTTCATTGGGTCATGACATTGCTTTTAAAAAAATAATAATACACTTTCCATGCTTACGTAGAGACTCATCACTGGACTCATCCACTCTGTGCAAAATTGAAGTAATTTACAGCTTGGCAGTCCCATTCTTGTACAGTATTAATAAACCAAAACTGGTCAAAACTGAGAGTCTCGAAATATCAAGAGTGCTATGGAGTGCACAGAAATAAATCTGACTCTTCCCAAACATAGAATTTAGCCCACAGAAACCACATACAGTATAGGGAAACGAAGAGGTGTCCCAACATTTTACCACCACCCCCACAAGGAGCAAATGAGTAGCTTGTGGAAAACAGGTAAGTCTGAATACAGTTTGCAGTGCAGTGTCCTAAATAACAAAGAAAGTGAAAGACATAAGATAAAAAGACCAAACACTGGTCCTCTGGTCCTGCGGATAAAACAACTAGCCTCAAAGGTCCCCCATCAGGAAAGGATTCTAGCATAACTGGGGAATGGATAGCAGAAAAAGAGGGAGGTAGTTGTATCAAAATGGCCCAGAAGACATATACCGTATATATTATATCTATATCGGGATTACTTTGCATGGATACTTTCCCCTTGTCCTGAAAGGAAGCTGGGTGTTTGGCCTTTTCTTGCTTGTTTTGATAATATCTGGCTGGCTCCCAGTTTGGCAATCTAATCAATCAATGAAACTTGTATTTTCTTTTAGGAGAGTAGAGACAAGGACTGCAGATGTCCCCATATTTCCTGGCAATCATTTTTCCTGAAGAAACAACTCCATCCTGATGAAGCCGCATATATCACTTCCCCTCCCTCCACAACAACTTCATCCCCCATTATTTGCAGCCTGCCCAGACAGCCTTCCCCAAAGGGGAAGGATGGCCCTAAAAAGGTGGGGGGACCATCCCCAGCCCCCCTCCCCTTATTCTTCAAGCCTCCCACACTAGACTCACTTCCTTTTCTTTTCTTGCACAGGAGCTTGCAATGTATCCGCTGGTTTCCACAGCAACAGCCTTCCTCCTTGCCTCTTAAAGGGACAGGGTGTCTGTTAGACTCAACCATGTCAGCTTTTCACAGGATTCCAAATCAGAAGAAAGCAAAGAGGGGATTAGGAATATAGATGCTGGTATCGGATGTTTGTTAAAACACAAACTACATACTAATGGTGATTTTTCTTTTTTAAAAAAAAATCCTTTCTATAAAAACAAGCATGTCTCCACAAGTAATCCTTGTATTTGTGCATGCCCCGATCCTGTGACAATATTATAACCACATATCACAGAAAGGAAGGAATAAATGGCTGGCTCCAGGAACTCTGCATGAATTAAGCACTAGACAGAGAAATAAGACAGCTTCAAATGAAGTTGCAGAAGAACAGAACAAAATAATTCAAATATATATGTAAGAGGGCAGGCAGTGGGACAGGATTCCATTATTGGAACTGCAGAATGAATTCGTTCAAAGCCAACAAAGGGAAAAAGAATTAACAAGCAAATTTACAAAACAGCATGGAACAGGATTTACTACTGAGTTGTGCCTCACTGTCAGAGCGAAGATATAGTGAGTACCCTTACACAAATATAGCCACATTCCATAAAGCAATTGTAGTAGCATAGGATGTGCTATCTTCGGGGACAGGAGGTACCAGATTTCCCCCAAATCAGCATTTATTGCTTTTAATGAATGAATCCCAAAACAGTTTACATATTAAACAGCAAATGTTGCAAGCTAAGAAAATATACTTCAATCTTTAAAAAAAAACCCTCCAGTTTGTGAATGAGGGATATTGTGCTTCTGTATCCATGATCCAAAATGCCAGGAAATTATTTGATATTGCTGTACAATATCATTCCGGTTTTATTCTCTAGCAGGAAAAAGGATGCCAGGCTTTACATAGCAAAGGGCAGCCTGAATGTTGACAACATCAATCGCAGCAGTCAAGATGGTCTACTCTACAGGATACCCTCTTGGGCTCACTACCATTCAAAAAAAAATATATGACACCAAGCAAGGCACTTGCTTCTGCATGGATTATGTGTGTAAAATAATTTTTAAAAGCATAACTCGAAAACCTTTTACCCAAACTCATCCAAATTTGGCACACAGCAAAAGCAGATTGTCTGATACATTTGGTACTGATTTGAAATCCAGTTTCGAAGTTATACATTTTTGTTTGGAGTGCTCCCATTTTTAGAATTGACTTGCAGAATGTTAATGTGCTCTGCCAGCACAATAAATCACTGCACTTTCATGACAATTATGTCTAGTCATAAAGCAATAAAACAGCAGTTGAAACAATACAGAACAATAAAAAAATACAACTTTGCATTAAAATTCCTAGAGGTAACTGATAAGGTCAGCTGATCAAGAAAATGCCTGTGCAAACAAATGCATCTTCAGCTCATATGAAAAGCATTGTATGGGAGTTCTCTTCATTCTTGTGGAGAAACCAGCTGATATAGTGGGAACTGTAATGGAGAAAGCAATCAGTTCAGATTTCAGTGGCCTATGGGATTGTTAGTGGAGTCTCACACATTAGCTGGAGAATGTATTGGTCTATCAGGTTGGCGAATCTTTCACACTCCAGAACTGTTGATTACAACTCCCATAGTCCTTTAACATTGGAAACATAGGCTGGGGATTATGGGAGTTGTAATCAAAAGCATTTGCAGTGCCAAAGGTTTGCCATCCCTAGTCTATGAAAAGAGCATTTCTTAGGATAACCTGGTCTTGAGCGGTTAAGGGCTTTATAAACCAAGAGCAGCACCTTGAACTGCTTGAGTGCAGAGATCTGAGCACAGAAGTTATAAATCAGAGAAGCAATGACAGGCCAAATACTGCCTTCCTCAAACCCCTGGAAATATGGAACCTTGTAATTATGGCTAGAGAGTATGGGGCCCATTGGGTGTCAACTGGGATTACAAACAGAGGCCAGGATGAGATGAATGAGTAATTTGCCTGGAGTGGATCTGGATAAAAGAATAAGTGAGGGCAGAAACCAAGCAGAGTTATATAATATTTTAAGGAAAATGTGTTAAACCTTTCTGTTTGGTCATTCATATATGCCCACATAATCTATGTCTAATCCCACTTGATATACTGTTTTATTGTAGTCAATCACTCAATCAATCAATCAATCTTTATTTGCTGTCTCCGACCCATTAGAATACGTACATATAACATTTAAAATAAGAGGAAGAAATTAAAACATTTCAAGACAGTTAAAACAGTATAAAGTAATAAGGTAATTACCCATACGTTGTTTTTTATATTAAGATTACTGTATATACAATATTGTAGCATTTGGATGCTAACCTTTTTAGGTATCACACCCCCCCATGATAAATTCTTAATTATCCTATGCTATGCCATTTGATATGGTGAATCAGAATGGTTTCCAAGCAGAGGTGTTGGACAAGGATATATCTTATCTCTTTATTTGTTCAATCTATATGCAGACCATATCAAAAAAAACCTGGAGCAGATTCAGATTAAAGAGGAGTCAGAGCTTGAAAGTTACTTTTCAAAAGTAACTTGTTCTGATATTCACTACTTTAGGCCAGCAGGACATCACATATAATTACTGTTACACCTTTCTGTGAAAATCATATACTGTACTGTATTCTGGTTCCTTGTTACTAATGTATTTATTATAGTTCCACTTTACATGGGCAGCCCTTGGGGAATATATTAAAAAGCTCATTGCTTCCCTCAAGTGGTGAATTCTGTTTATTGCACAAAATACTGTAAACAAATACACGCTAAAGAGCAAAACTTTCCTGGTTACTTTCTTCTCAAATGCCTTGAATTACAGATCCCGCAACAACCTGATTGGAGATGGGAAGATGTTTGTAGTCCCACACAGTAAGTGCCAGATTGGCCAAAATGTTATACATAGGCATTCTTAGCAAGCATTCATTTAGTGGACAAACCGGCTGGTCACAGAATTCCATCCACTATCTGGTACTTTCCCGAATACAGAAACAGGATAAACATTCAGAATTAAAACAACAAGCCCATGCTGAGTTGGGTACCAGAATGGCTGGAAGAATTACAGGTCAGCCTAAATGAAATTTCCATAGCCAGAGACAGTATATATTTGAATAACAGATACTCTGAACAACCTTGTTTATGGATCTTCCTAATGTACTACTAAGGCTCTGCTTGACTGTCCTAGATTCTACTTATTTATTTTAAATGTTTTAACCTGCCTTTCTCCTTGAAAAAGAACCCAAGGCAGCTTAGGACAAAATATAGTATTTAAGTTAGTAACAATTACACAATTGGATAAGAGAAAAAGAACCCAAGGCAGCTTAGGACAAAGTATAGTATTTAAGTTAGTAACAATTATACAATTGGATAAGGGACGTGGTGGAGCTACAAGTTAAACTGCAGAAGCCTCTGTGCTGCAGGGTCAGAAGACCAGCAGTTGTAAGATCGAATCCACATGACGGAGTGAGCTCTCATCACTTGTCCCAGCTCTTGCCAACCTAGCAGTTCGAAAGCATGTAAATGCGAGTAGATAAATAGGTACCACCTCGGTGGGAAGGTAATGGCGTTTTGCATCTAGTCGCATGGGCCACGTGACCACGGAAACTGTCTTCGGACAAACGCTGGCTCTATGGTTTGGAAACGGGGATAAGCACCATGCCCTAGAGTCAGACACGACTGGCCTAAATGTCAAGGGGAAGCTTTATCTTTATACAATTGGATGGCTGGACAGTGTCATCGAAGCCACCAACATGAATTAGACCAAACTCTGGGAGGCAGTGGAAGACAGAAGGGCCTGGCGTGCTCTGGTCCATGGGGTCACGAAGAGTCGGACACGACTTAATGACTAAACAACAAAAGGACAAATGAGTACAATACAAAACAAAAACCCACACATAAGCAGCACCAAAACACATTCAATGCAGTAAGGTACAACAACCCATTAAAAAAAAACCACTTGGCAGCCATTCACTCAGGGAAAGTTTGCCTGAGGAGAAAGGGAAATGCCGTCCTTGGGATAGCTTGGGCCCAAGCTATTGAGGGTTTATAGGTTAGAATCATCACTCTGAATTCTGCCCAGAAATGGCTCAGCAGCCAGCAGAGCTGCTGTAATGGGGGGGGGGTTAAGTGATCCCTGTCACCATCCCCAATCAGCATCTGGCAGCTGCATTTTGGAGCTGCTGAGGTTGCCTGACACTTTCCATAGACACTGGTACAGAGTATGTTTTTGTAGGTTTTGGTGACTCCACATTTCTCCCCCAGTGACTTCCACAATTCTCCATCTCAGCTGTTTGTGTGAGGAACCAACACTGGATTCACTGGATTTAACAGATGGCACTTGCTCTTTAGCAGATCATTGAAACTAGGTCATCTTGTCTGTGCATACATTTGCAGTCCTGTGTAGTGCCTGCCGAAGCCACAAATCCTAAGCATGCTAATATGGCCTTTCCACTTAAAGGAACCACTTTTCAATGATAGCAGGTGCATGGAATGCAAAATGGATATGTTTTACTGTGTGCTTACCAATGAATACTAATAAAATGCCTGTCCACAGAGTGACCCCTCTATTGCTCAGGGAAACAACAAGTAACAAAGACAGATACATTCTTATTATACTGCAAAAGAGTGAATTACATCTATGGTTGTTACAGGCCCTAAAGTAACTCTGTTCTACTTTATTGCTTGAAGGGGAAAAAAGACCTATTACTAAAGTAACATGTTACAAGCCACAGTTTACTTCCAAGTTCTTGAGCAAGTGAACTCTGGTGGAGAAAACATCAATAATGTAAGATATCCAGATAACACCATATTACTGGCGGAAAACAGCAATGCCTTGAAATGACTTTTAACAAAAGTGAAAGAATAAAGTGCAAAAGGTGTATCACAACTGAACATAATGAAGACAAAAATAATGACCACATAATAATGACACAGCTTTCACACTGGCTATGAAGAAACCTGAAATTGTTGAAGATTTTCTGTATATTGGTTCAGTAATCAGTCTAAATGGAGACTGCAGTCAAGAAATTAGAAGATGACAGATTTCGAAGAGCAGCTAAGAAGGAGCTAGAAAAGA